TGGGGATACCAAACGGCACCTCTCTGGGCTTTCACAGATGTAGGGTGACAGCTAACATTCTTTGAGCATTTACTATGTACAAGGTGCCAAATGCTTTGCAATGTATCAAATGTAGTTGTTCGAACACCCAATAAGATAGGCACTATTATCCCTGCTTAACAGATGAAGAAACCAAGGTTCAGAGTGGCTAAATAACTAGCAGCACCATGCTGCAGGTAATGGAGCTGTTTATTCAGCCCCAAGCTCGTGTGACTCGAGCCTACACTGGTAACCACTGCTCTGCACTATAATAGAAGGGATTGAGCAATTGGCCTCTAGCCACCCCAGCTCCTGCGAGGTAGATGGCTCTCCTGGAGCCCTAGAAGGGGTCACTTAACCCTAGGACTGGAGCAGTCAATACAGTAGTTGCAAAGTGTGCATTTCCACCTTTGCACTGCTGGTCAACTGTGGTGAGGGCAGTTGCCTGAAGCCGACATCCTAGATCTCTGAAGACAGGAGCTGACAGATCTATGGATGAAGAGAATGGAAAGCTATCAATTAAAGAAACTTCTACACCCTCCCTGGCTTCCTGAACTTCTTGGGGTGTATAATTGGCAGTTGGCCTGGCTGAGTATTTATCAGCTTTTTCGCTTAGCTCTGAGACAGTGACGTCCCTAGTGGCTTCTGCTCTGTGTACATGACATCTGCTGCTATCTGTGGTGGCTGCCTCTGAAATTTCTCTCCTTGCTGAGCCGGCCAGAATTTCTCCCCTGCCCGGCCTATAACTTGACTAAAGCAGTTAACAGGAATGAGTGTCAGCCGTGTTAACAGCTGTTTTGTTGGTGGTTACTCTACTCTGGCTCAGGCATTGGGAATTGGGTGGTTGTTTTTTTTTTTTTTTCATTTTCTTTTCCACTTAAAAAGAAGCTACCGAGTAGCAGAAAGAAAGCAAAGTCATGCCTCGGTCTTTACGAACAGTTAAGGGACTCCATTTGCCAAAGAAAGTCTCGGAGGCCTAGATTCTTATCTGATTCTTGGACTGTCCACACCACAAGCAGTGACACTGACAGAGCCTTCCGCTGGGTGTTTCCCTCCCAAAGTGGTTTGGACTGCTGTTCTCTCATCATACTTCCCCTGTGGTGTGAAGCCCAGGCCCTCTACCTGTGGGGAACAGAGAACTATAAGACAGACCCCCAAAATTTAGGCCACGGGCAAGACATATACACTCCCACACACAGAGGCTTGAGCCAGCAGAGACCCAAACCCAGGCCTGGATTCACCGAGAGCTGGTCTTCCCTAGACACCGAGGTCAGCATGGTTGCACGGGGACCTCCTGCCATGCATAGGGCTTCCCCTCGTCAACGAGAAGCAATCCCTGAGAGTCAGTGCGAACCGCGTGTGGAGTTGAAATGAAGGAGGCCCATACAGTCATTCAACAAGTGTTTTTCCTCAAAGGAAAAGCTGGAAGGACACAAGGAGGTGAAGGCTGGTGGCTGGCTCTCTTGGCGAGCTGGAGCGTGGGCAGGAGCATGTCGTTGGTCCTCTTGGAGACAGGGATCCTGGCTGGCCAGCTGCTGTGGGTTTTGGGGTATGCAGTACACAGAGGTGGTTCACGGTGTCCCTGACAGCACTCAGCTCTGCTCGGGCTCCCAGCCAGGCTGGGGAATGTTTGTCTGGCTTCCTGAGTGTACTGTCCTCCTGGGGACGGACTGAGCTCTCCAGCCGGTCAGGGCATTTCAGCTCCTTGGCAGCTGTTTATATTTGAATGTAATCAGTACACATACTTCTTCTTGTCAGAGTTGGGTCAGCATGAGTCGGTTTCACAGGAGTGGTCACCTAATAAACTAATAAAGTGGCATCTGAACTAGTGCATGACGTGGGAGGTCCAGCTTGAAACTCGGGGGGCTGCCCGCTTACCCGCAATCTGATTAACCTGGGGACGAGTCTAACCTCTCAGAGTCTCCCTTTTGTAATGTTAAATGCCCAGGGTTGTAAGATTTAGACAAAATGCTGGGGACAGGGATTTCAGTCATTTAATGTGTTTTTTGGGCAGCTACTGTGTGCCAGGCACTGTTCTAGCCACAGGGACACAAAATAATTTTCCTAGTCTCAGAGGGGGTTACATTCTGGTGGGAGGAGACAGGTGATAAACAAAAATATAATATTTGGCAGCAGTAAGGGCCATGCTCTAAGCATTTAACCTAAAATTAAACCTTACCTCGATATTCTCACAGAGAAAATGAACTTCCTGAGTGTTTTTTTTTTCCCAGCTCCATTTCACAGACAGCCGTGTGGGCACGACGGAGTAGAGCCTTTCAAAGGGGAAATACTTCTAGGACAGAGAGACTCAGCACAATGGCAGGAGCACCGGGAGATCTGGGGTGGTTCTGTTTGGAAAGGGGGTGAGATGTGCCTGGGATTCCTGCTGGTTTGGGCTGGAAATGAATAGCATGCAAATGAGCACCTGGGTCTGAGTCAGCAGTGAGTAACCCCTCTGCGGGATGCTGAGCCCTGAGAACGCACACGGCCCGCCCTGCTGGCTGCTCCGCTTCCCTGGGATCTTCTCACAGGCGGCCTCTGCGCCCTGAGCCCTGGCCCTTGCCTGTGCCACCCTGCCCAGTCACAGCCCCGGGTCAGGCCCACTGCTTGCTGCACCTGCGCCCAGGCCCACGGGCCCAGCTGATGAAACAGCGTTACTGGAAGCCCAGGGCCTTCTCACCACCTGGGGCCTCGGTGTGCCTTCCTGCAGCAAGTGCCAAGAAAATGCTCCCTTCTCCCGGAGCTCCCTTCCCCAATGGCTCTCGCCCCGCAGAGGACTGGGACCCCTGCTTACCAGGCCTGAACTCTCTCAACAGCCCCCCACCTCCCTTCTTCACGCTTCTCCATCCCCCTATCCAAGATGGACCCTTCCGCCTGTGCTCACCTTCTCCCCGCCGCGCCTCTTCTGAGAGCTTGCTCTGCCGTCCTCAAGTCCTGTGCCACCAATGTTTGTTTCCCATGGATTCATTTCAGCCTGCACAGCTGTCCACACTGCTGCTATTCTAAACCCACTTTTTTGGATCCTGCCTTTCCTCAACTCACTACTCCTTCTCTTCCTCTTCACTACCACATTTCTTTTTCTTTTTTTTTTTTTTGGTGAGGAAGATAGGCCCTGAGCTAACATTTGCCAATCCTCCTCTTTTTGCTGAGGAAGACTGGCCCTGGGCTAACATCCGTGCCCATCTTCCTCCACTTTATATGGGATGCCGCCACAGCATGGCTCCACGAGCGGTGCGTCGGTGCGTGCCCGGGTTCTGAACCAGCGAACCCCAGGCCGCTGCAGCTGAGCGTGGGCACTTAACCGCTTGCGCCACCAGGCCGGCCCCACCACCACATTTCTTAAAGGAATAGTCTCTACTCGCCTGTCCCAGGACTTCTTAGTCCACTAAAAACTAATATTAGCCCCCAAAACTCACCTAAAATTTCTCTCATCGGGGTCACCAATGACCTGTTTGCTTATCTGGTGCGTACTTTGCAGCCTGTATCTTTACGTAACCGAAGCATTTGCTTCCATGGGATACTTCCTTGACACCACTCTGGTTCTCCTGCCACCTCTTGATCACTGTCTAGTCTTCTTTGGCTGCACTGTCTTCATTTC